GAGAGGCAGAGAGGGTGGAAAGGGAGTGGGAGGGAGAGGAGGAGGGAAGGGAAAGTAAAACAGACTCAAGGGGGCCAAGAACCAGTCAACTGAGAGCTCACCATCTAAGACAGAAAACAGATGCTGGCAGACACAGGATTTGGAGACTGAAAACCCCATTCTATTAGTAAAAGAAAGAATTCATCTTAGAGGCAAAACACAGCACATGTCTTCCCCAGTCCTCACCCTCTGCTTCAGCATCCTGCGTTCGTCTCTCCGGTAGCCTCCTGCACCCCAGAGACTTCTTGAAACTTAGTTTAGGTTCCTCATCTAACTTCAACTACCAAAGCCCTTTGATTCAGATCAGTCTTTGATGATGAACTAAAGGTTTCTAGAAAAATTATGATAAGAGGAGATGTTCTTGCATTTCTGGTTATGTAGATGACATTACCGAAAATGAGCAAGCCACATGTCTTCTCTGCAAACATTCGTGGCAAGAAGAATATTTCTGATTCCAATACACACGAACATGTAAAAAATGAATACTGTGAATTTACATTTTACGCTAAGCACATTAGCGCAGGTTCTAAAATGCCCATCCTCCTGAAATAGTTTCCTTTCATCTACTTAATGCTAATTGTATGAGAAAAGCACATCAAGTTCCTATTCAGAATAAAGGGAAATAAAGTATCTGTTATAGACTGGGACGTGGCTTCAGTCTGTTGGTTTTGTAAATAAAGCTCATGATTACAGTGACTATTCGATGGCAGCTGTAGAGAGAGAAAACAGGAAATACAATGCAGGAAGCCCGCTTCAATGAAAAATACTGTAAATTGAATTTGACAGCATTTGATGGCATTTGATTATTCTAGTCACAGCCAAACAATGATATAAAGAGTAATATGAAACAGAATGTGTTACTGCCTAGCAGACTCAAAAGCAATAAACCTTCCTCCAATGTGACACAATCACTTCACAATCATAATTGTAGCCTGTTTGATACCTCTGAGTACAGCAGAAGGGCACTGACTGACATAGATACATTTTGTTTTTTATTTAAAGTGAAATGAAAATGGCGCACTGGGGCTCCAGATACAATCGTTATATTCACCTACATAGGCATGAATCACTTGGCAGTTATTTCAGCTGAAGTTTAAATGTGCTTAGACAACAACAATATCAAATTTTTCTTAGATAGCTACAAAAAAAAATCAGAAATTTGTAAGGACAGAAATAGAATGTAGACACATAGTTCTTTTTCATTCTAAGACTACAGAGAGCCCCTTATGTAGTGATAGCCACAAGCCTGCCGTATTTCTGAGGAGGTTATGGCATGTAATTTCTGCTTCATCATTTGGCTCCTCTTTCTTCTATCACCACCAAAGGAAATACACTTAGCTCAAACCAAAGACCAGGTTTGGCCTACACAGGTATTTCCATTAAATTGCAGGAGGCCAACTTGCCAATCTCCTTTTGAAAATTCTTATCACTCTGTTCTCTCCAACCCTCCCCCAAACATTTTCTTCTCTGTAATTTTCTCGTATTGTTTATCATCCTATTAAAGAGTGTCTGCCCCAATAAAGAGATAAGGTGGTTATGACTTCAAAAACAAAACAAATCAACCTAGTAAGAGTAGACTATTAATGCAATTCCTTCTGCTTAGCTTCTTCTTAATTTAGGCTATTTTTTTTTCACTCCACATACACCATAAAAAAGGAGTTCCTACAAAGCTTTTTGACAAAGTATAGGGACAGAGCCAGCAGTGATGGTGCAGCTGAGGCCAGATGAAAACATCCCACGTTCTCATCCTGAGGTCTTCCTGAGCATGCCGGGAATGTATGTGAGCGCCCGTGACCCTTAACTAGCTGAGGCTAGGGGGTGGGATTGTGGTGTGAAGACTCCGTGGGTGGTTTCTCTCTGTGAAACTTCATGGAAGAGATATATAAATAAACTTAAAAAAAAAAAAAAAGAATAGAGACGACACCTAAGTTAGCATTTTGTAGCCTGTTTATTGAGAAGGTATAGACATGGGCGTTGTTTCCTCCTTACAATAAGTTTGATCTGTAAAGTAATAATCCTCAGTATCCCCTATTTATTTTATATCTCTAATCTTACTTGCAAAATATCTCCTCATTGCCATCTACAAAAGTCATCAAACATGAGTCTTAGGATTTTATAAAACATGTAATAAAATAATCTCCTTCCATCTAGAGCTCCCATTTTAATGTGGAAAAACAGGGGGGGAAATGATGAACCTTCCTTCTGAGTATTTAGTATGACTTTAAAGGATAAAATGTGAGCTGGTTTTTAAGTACAATGATGTGGATGGATATTTGAAACAGGAAACTGAAAATAATAATTTTCTAGAATGGATAATTAAGCTGATTGAGTAAACTAAGAAAAGAGGACATTAAATCAAACGCAAAGGAATTTTAATGCAGTTCAATTTGTGGTGTGTGAAAAGAGAGATACAGACATAGATATCGAGATAGATAGATGAGAGATCGGTAGATAGACACACAGACAGACATATGCATATATGTGCATATCTACTAAGGGACCTGAGCCCTGTACCAACGAGCGTCACTATTGTAGGAGATGTAAGACAAGCTAAATAAACAGAGTGTAATGTAAGGTGAGAAACAGGAATGTTTACCAGAAAATTAAGAGAAGAGAAGAATTATCTCTTTCTGAAATATTTATGGAAGAGTTCATGAGTTAATTTCATTGGGACTAGGCCTTACCAAATAAAAATTTAATGACTAAATTGTCGAAGAAATTCACCCACTGGAAAGTTTTACCAGCATAGAAAATTACAAAGATTTTTAATCTTTTCTTTTCCCTTGCCCACAGTGTATATCGGGTTGTCGGAAAAGTCATGACATATTTTTTCTATGCAAAAATGTTTCCTGACTTTTCTAATGACTCAATAATTCCCATCAATAGAAGTGACACTATTAATTTTAACATATTGGGACCAGCAGTTGGCGTAATGACTATGTCGCTGGA